GGGTACCTCTGTGTGACACATCCTCCAGTTCAGACTGTGTACCAGTGATTGCTGCTCTCAGGCATCCACTGGTTTTGTACTCACGTTATAGCAATTTTATTCTTGCTCATACATCCCTAGCACCTAGTATTCTTATGAAATTATCATACAAGACCTCATAAAACTGTTAGTAAAGTCAGGAGACAGGGACCCTGCTGCTTCCATCTTGCCTGTGAATTCTGTTACTCAGTTCTGGAAGAAACCGATTTGCTTTGACACAATGTATTCCTGAAGGATTTGTGTCACTTGCTCTTTTTCTACCTGTCTTCCAGGTACTTGGAGACCCTTGTTTATTTTACTTATTCCAGATTTCTTTTTCTTTTTTTTTTTAACTGAAGTTAAACTGGATTTAATGCCTCCCTTCCACTTTTTTAAGCTCCATTCACCCTTTCTCGGTCCTCTGAGAACTCTCCTGTCTTCATTCCAATCTTACAGCTGGAAATAATACCTGTTTTGGTTTGGGGATTATTTGTGTTAGTCTACAGCTCTTGATGGATTTTCTTTTGTAAAATTGATGCAAAAAGGTCATGTAACACTTAATCCTTCTTGCAATCATCTATGAAATGCTCTCCTTTTTCCATTGGTTAATGGATCAATGTTTTCCACACTCTTCCCCTTATTAACAGATGATCTCATACACTGACTTTTTTTTTTTTTTTGTGTTATTCTTCATGCTTCTCCTTTGGACACCTCCCACTTGAATATTTTATAGCTGTTTTCCTGTGTGCTGGAATACACACACGATCTTAGTAGTGTGACCAGTTTCCTACTTTCTGTTTGCTTTCTATCTGAATTCAATTAAGATATTATGATTTAACCAGTCTTATCTTTTGCTGTACCCATCTCTCCTCTGCTTTGGGGAAAAATACAGCTGTGCAGCACAGTTTCAAGGTTTGCATTTTTAGGATCCTGATGTTTTTAAAGTGACGGAAAAAGAGAACGGTGACACCCCACATTAGGATAGGTCTATTTTCATTTAAAGAATTAACTAAACACAACTTCCTATACAATAAATATGTGGCTAACTACATGAAGTCAAAAAAGCTCAGAAGTTGTGATTCCACTGTGTCATTAACTTGCCCACATCTCATATCAAATGGTCACTGTTTAGCTGGGTTTTTATAATGATGCTTTGGAGATAGTTAATAGGTGGTTTGACAGATAGTATTAGAATGCAAATGCCACTTATAAAGTTATTAATGGTCATCACTGTATATTTTAATAATGATTTTGGTGATTTAGTTGTAATTTTACAATGTCAAGTATTTTGTGCAATGTGGTTCATTTCCAGTTATACAGCAACCTTACCTGTTACTTCTGTGACTTAGCTCTGATTTTTGAGACCCGTGCTTCTGTTGTTTCTGCATCTGTTTTAGTTCTGCAAATTCTCATTTTTGCAAAAATGAAAGTCTCTCCCAAAGACTTTGTAATCAAATTTGTTCACTTATACGGCCTTTTCTCTTTAATTATTCTCCAAATGCTTAAACTCTTGATCCATAGCACAGAAGTACTTGGGAGAGCAGAATTCTGTGCACCAGCTGGACACAGTCAACAATACAAATTCTTACTAAAGGATGGTAGGGATTAGGAGGGTGATGATGCTGTGGATCACAGTGCTTAGTGAGTTATTGCATTTGGGTGGGGGCTGAATTTCCATTTCCTAGTTCTGGTCAACTTCTAACTTAATAACCATGCAAACAAATATGATTCCAGTGATTAAGGTAGCCTGAAACTTGATTTGTAATGGGGAAATTTAGTGAAGTATTTTAACTGCTATGTTGCAAAAAGAAAACAGAAAATCCAGTAACTGCAGCTCTCAGGTTACAGCAAAGTTTTGTGGTGGGGGAGAAATGAATGCTATAGGTGAAATTTCAGTGTGATTCCTCATGAGTTCAATATGTACTGTTCTCCTTGCTTCCTAAGAAATAACACGAAGCATTTAGATTACAGGGTAGAATTTCATTCTCCCTGAAATTTTGGCTGTGCTGTCCTCGAAAATATTTTGCTCAGTTCTTGAATGTGCTTTCCTTGAAGCTGTGTGAGCTTCACTCTTAAATTCAAGCTATTGCTACAAACTGCCTCTAGAAAAGTCATTTGTCACTGCCATTAGTCGTTTAGTACAGATATTGTCTGCAGCCTCTGAGCTTCATAAAACCGACAGATCCTTATCAGTAATCAATATTTGTAATATTTGTTAATATAAATCTGTCACTACTGACTCATCATTTGAAATGAATTTGAGACAAAGCACTTTGTTACGGGGCTGCTGATCATGGTAGAAGCAAAACCTATAAAACTACCAGAAGTGGGATCCTTAACTTTGCTGGCACATCAGAGTCAAAATGCATGGACTTGAATCCTCACGTGGAACCTTACTAATAAGCAATAATAATGAAGACTCTTGACACGTTTCCAAATTGCATAAAGGTCTTCATTAAGATGCAGCAGCTGTTTATTTTCAGGACCACATGGTCTAGTCAGCGTGATAACAACACAATGGAGGGGGATCAGCAAGATTGCCTTTAGTGGAAAACACCCACATCTTTCTTATCCACTCTAATGGGTCAGTAAAGAAGAGCTGGAGTTGGAGAATAATTAGAGTAATTTTCCATTTATTTTTTTTCCTTTCCAGTGTGCCTTAGGCTAGGGAGGTCAAATAGATGCTAGAGAGAAAAACTGCATCTGGAACTAGTCTGAAAATAAATATGTATCCCATGAATGGTGCTGTGTACAATTTGCTTAGCCTTAAAAAACTAAGTTTGTCTGCCAGTTGATTGCCTGCTTCATCGAGGAAATCTGCTTAGCCTGTATGATTCTGAGAGCTCTTTTTCTTCAGCTTCAAAATCTGAGGGATGTGAATTAACTATTTCCCATTTCTTGTTTCTTTCAGCTTTCCCTTTCACATATCAGAGTCATATTACTCACCAGCTTCCTTTTGGCTGGTTTGCAACTAGGAGATTTTTCAGTGAGTGGAGACAAGCTCTGGATTTTCCTGCTATGTAATGAAACTCTAACAGCCTTGAAATCTTATGGCAGTGCCTGACATAAAATAACACCTGACTCTATCAGGTCCTTCCTTGTGATTCAATGAGATGAATTTAAAAACCTTATATGCTTTCTAGGTAGAAGCATATCCTGTTGCCCTCTGTGTGTCAATGCAATTGTATTTATTCTACCTGCTTTAGTTCATTAGTAGTGCAGTGAATGCTCTGATACCTTGGCACTGCACATCCAGCTATGAAATATGCATCTTGGGTAATTATTTCTGTTCAAGAACAGCTCGCCAGTTCCCTGGGTTTGAATGTATTTCATCTGATATTGTAAATGAAACACCGTGTCAAGTGGTCTTTTGTTTGCTTTGTCTGGTAGTCTATAAGGAGCCCAGCTGACCTATTTAGTGACACCATATTTCTACACTGATCTGAAGTGGAACATGGTCAATAGTAGATTTTGAGCTTGCTTTGAAATAGAAGGTGATCTAACTCCTTTCCTGGGTTTCTCCTGTCTGCCCCTTGCGCACACACGTTTTCTGAAGCAGAGTCTGCTGCTCAGATATAAGGCAAAACACAGGCCATGGAGTGTGCAGTGGTTTGAAACTGAGCTCTCGTTGTGTAGCCTTTTGAAGAACAAGATCTGTAGACCCCTTGGGCTCCCTTTTACCTGTATCTCAACATATGGGCCACAGCCAAACTCAAAAGTCCCCAACAAATAAAAGTAGGCTCTCAAATATTATATAGGGTATACCTAAACATGATGTTCTTCTTAATCACAGTTTGCTGTTGTGACTGGGTAGATTCCATGTTGCACATTTTTAACATGGCTTATATTTTCTTCTGCAAAGTGTCTGTAGTAAAACTCCTTTAATCCTTCTCAACTTCTTACAAAACTCAACTGAAGCTCCAAGGAGTAAGGGAATCTATTTTGAAGTTTCAAAATTTGCTCGCTTTGAAGTGATTGAATTTTTTTATTTGAGTCACTGAAAAAGCCTCGTTGAAGAGACACAGGTGACTCAACTGTCTTTACTGAACCAATGGAACAATTACACCAGCTTGAAAGGGTGACTAATTTTTTGTACTGCCAAGACCTTCTAAATATCAGCCACATGTCACCTGATGTGTATATTCTACTATTATGACTGGACAAAAGAGTATATACTGCCTCACTTCTGGCTAAAAGAGCAGCAACACTTGGGTCTGCTAGGTCTTAGCATTCTTGTTAACATGCACTTTTTAAGCAAGTGTCACTTACTCTATTGATTCAGTATTTTGTCTGTCTTAAAATCAGTTTATCAGGATAAAGGTATAGGTTCTGATTTCTAAATATACATTGATTGGCCTAAATGATCTGCAAACCTTGCCTTTGTGTTCCAGTTTCTGCCTCAGTGTACCTTCTGGTCAGGCTGTTCTTAGGATTATACATATGTACAGTTTGCAGAGGGAATCAAGCTTATTGTTAAAATTTCACTTTATTTTGAGATAATCTTGAAAGCACAAGGATTTTTATGATAGGACTTGAGAATCCCACTTGGGTGCTTTGCCATGTACTAAATAGCATAATAGTGCCTGTCTGTGTGTTAAAGTGATGAGAACTATCCTCACCTTTTGAGCTTACAAACAGTCCCACTTGCAAAATGCGTGGGTAAAAAAGAAAATGGATAGTTTGTTTTCTGTGAATCCTGGAGATTGTATTGATTGGAGGCACTTCTAACAGCTCAGTATCCACTGGTCTTGTTGAGAGTCTCTTGCAAGATGAAGGATTGCATAGTATTATTACTTTAAAATGAAGAGTTTGAATGGAAAGAACAAGCTGATAGTAAACTGATATCTTACACTTAATCTTGTCTCTTGATTTTACTGATGCTGAAGGTTTTTAAAAACACTGGTTATCTCTTCTGCCGTTTAGAAAATGCCTTCACAAATTTCTGTCCGTTTGATTTTGTTTTTACTTTTCCCCCCACCCAGGTTCCAACTATGGGAGTCCCCGTCCAGCTCATGCCAACATGAATGCCAATGCAGCTGCAGGGCTTGCCCCAGAGCACATCCCTACTCCGGGGGCAGCTCTGTCCTGGCAAGCTGCGATCGATGCTGCCAGGCAAGCCAAGCTGATGGGGAGCGCTGGCAATGCAACGATATCCACAGCCAGCTCCACGCAGAGGAAACGGCAGCAGTATGGGAAGCAGAAAAAACAGGGTACCACCACAGCTACACGTCCTCCCCGGGCACTGCTGTGTTTAACACTGAAAAATCCCATCCGGAGGGCCTGTATCAGCATCGTCGAATGGAAATATCCTTTCTGATGTTCTCGCTGAGAAAACGGCGAATCACTCGTGCACATCAGGTGCTATTCATGGGGAAATCAATACCTTAAGTTGAAAGGCGCTGCTGGGAACTTAAAGTGCATGAATAGTTTTGGATGTCTTAACTGAGATCGTTTAGGCAGGGGGAGGGGGAAGGGAGGAAGATCAGAGCTGAAGCCTTAACTACACCTGTGTGTAAGAAAACACTAGAAGTTTAAATGATGAGGGTTAGGAGTTGAATTCTGCTCTTTTGAAAACACATGGCCCAGACTGAAATGTTTGGGAGATATTCAAAGTATCTGAGGCCAGAATTGAACTGACTCTATGGGACTGATAGCAGCTGCTGGCTTTCCTTTTCCTTTCTGGGACTTTCATGTGTTTTTTTTTTTGTTTTGGTTTGGGTTTTTTGTGTTTAAATGTTTGTTTGTTTTTTATTTATTTGTTTGTTTCTGGTTTGTTTTAGTTTGGGGTTTTTTTGTGTTTGGTTTTGGGTTTTTTAATGGTTGCGTTTTTGCAGGCCCTTAGAGGTACCACCAGTCAACAGCTCTGGTACTTTGAATTTCACACTTTTTTTTTTTTTTGTTAATCACGTGGCATCACGCTTTCTACAGTATGGAGAAAAGAATGGGGCAAAAGGAGGAGGTAAAAAAATCCCCAAGTTTATGCAGTAAGATTCTGAACCAGGGCTCAGGACTGTTAATTTTATTGGAATTCCACTTAAACGAGTAAGGCTCAGTAATGTATGGTAAGGGATAATGCTTATCTAGAAGAAGGGAAAAAGAAACACGTCACAGTAATCCTGCAACATGTACAAATGCAGTGCAGAGCCAGATCTAATTGTCTGAACATGAGACAGACTGTGCCACAGACAGCAGATAACCACTGACACAGAACTGCCCAATGTAAGGGTCAGTGCTGCTTCCCTGGAAAGCCATGGAGAGCTGGGCCAAGGCTTTTAAGTGCAAGAAGCAAAGCCCTTCTAGTCACCCAAGTCTGATCAGTGCAAGCTGGAATTTGAGTATTTGGTGTGAAACACAAACTGAAATAAAATACATCTCCCTTGCATCCCCAAAGAGAAAACAATACTAACCCTAATCACAAGCTAATGGGCTGCTTCAGTAAATACTGAAGAAAATGAGTGTTTTTAGGCATAGATAAGCAAGTCAAGGGAAGGTAGTACAGAACTTGGCAGTAGTTAGTATGATAAAAAATGAATTAAGGCATTTAAGATAATATGATAATATTGTTCCTTTGGGTGTCTGGTGGGATGTTAGAAAGGTGAAAATAAAAAGTGAGTATATTAAATATTGCTGACATAGACATATTTTTCAGATGAAGAACTTGTTAAAAATGCCCCTGTCAATTCTTAGATGTCCTTAAACTACCTGCCTACCTATTCCTTTCTTCTTCAGATGCTGATTTTTAATCCCCCCATTAAGTTTGCTACTTTTTATTGCTTCTGACATAGCTCTGATACCTTAAGCATATAATGATTGATAGTGAGTAACAGGATGAAGCTGAGTATTGGTTTAGTTGCCAGCACTCCAGTAACCACATGCCTTTAGAGAAAGCACAGAGTGACATTTGATAGATGAATAAGATCAGCAATGAATGATGGGAATGATGTGTTGTAAACCAGGATACAGCACTGCTGAGATCAAGAGAGGACCAAACAATGCAATTAAATCAGTCCAAAGATGCTGAAGCTTGCATTTTTTGGTTTTGTTTGGTTTTGGGTGAGTTGATGGAAGTATTTTTTTTTTTTTTCCACCAGAACCTCTCATTGCACATCTAGTGTTTATAAACATGAAACACTTCAATGACAAGTAGCAATATCAAAGGATTGTGATAAGGTTTAATTTTATTCTGTATTCTGACTTTTCCTAATTGCTAAAAACTAATGAGGAAAGCTTAGCTTAATTTGCTGAACCACTGAAGTTTAAGCATAATAGATATTAAACAAATATTATAGTACTTCAGTGGTGTTTCTTACCCAAAGTTATAGTGTTAAGAGCCTGAAGGTGCAGTTGCATTTATGAAAAAGTAAAACGAATTAATTGCCTTATTTTGCAAAGATTTAGCTGCATATTTAATTTTCTGCTTTGTCTGCACTGTATTTGTAGGTGTTATATGATTTTATTTTTACAGTGCAATAAAAAGAAGTAAAAGAAAATATGCATAAACAGTGATAAGTTAATAGATGATAATCCTGCCAAAAGAGCAACAACAAAAAAATCTAGGGAATAAAGCAATTAAGACCAGGAAAGGCTATGGAAATCCAGGTGTTTAAGCAGTACCCATTATATAAACAACCTGAGGTATATACCTGAGAAGACTCACTGATACCACATGGAATCTGCCTACCCTGACCTGCTCTTGTTCCTCCATGGTATCATACATCTCCTACTATTAAAAGGCTTAAGCACAGGAGTCTGGTGATTTTGGAACGCGTTGAGTCTTCCATATGTGAAATGCAGAATATATTTGAGTATAAACAGCAGTCAGGTGCCTGGAATTTGTGTTTATCTTGCAGCTCAGCTGCACATTAAAAGATCTTCAGTTTTTTCCTACTGAAGCCTGCTGAGAACAGTAGTCTGCTGACCAAAATCACCCATGCTGTGTTGACATTTGGCAGCGCTGCAGAGCCAGTCCCACGGTAGATAAATTCAGGCTCAAATGCTCTCTGTGGCACAGGTTATGCTTGGCATTCTCCCTGTCCTATCCTGCTCTTCATTCTCCTCCAGAGTCCTGGTGAGTTATCCCAGAGCTAACCTCCAGGATATGCTTGCAGGCAACTAAATGTAGACAGACTGTAAATCTGGTCTCTAGTCTGAGTTGGGAGACACTTCACAGCAGCTGAGATCAAGGAGTCCACTGAAGTAGATGAAGTACAGTGCCAACAAACCAGGCAGTAGAAAAATGCCCTTTGATTCCAATGGACAGTCAAAGAACATTGAGGTCACACAGGATTTCTTTGTTGAACATTCCAAATGTTTGGGGTTTTTTTTGTTCCCCCTTACAAAGTTGCTGCAAGGTTGAAATGCCTGTGAATTGTTGCTAGTTTCTCTATCATAAGGAACTCTTGGCTTCCTGGTGTCCCTAATATACTGTGCAGGCACATTTGTAGTCTCTGTGATGCCAAATAAAATGTAAATAAAAGAAAAAGAAATACTCCCTCAAATAATTTTTAAGCAAAACAAGTATACCTGGCAGTGTAAGCACATTTTGGACAAAGCCTTTTTTTTTTGCCTTAACAAAATTTATCATCTTTTAAGCAATGTATACATGTATTCCTTGGGCCCTTACATTTAACTTTGAGATATGAGAGAGAAACTCAGAAAGGGGGAAAAGAAACACAGCAACAACAACAAAAGAAAAAAAGAATTCCAAAAAAAACCCCAGTGAAACCCAAACCAAAATATTTGTTGAAATTATTTGAGAATTTGTAAATGCAGACAGAAAAAGACCAAGAGAAACTAATCCCAAGAGGAACAAAGGCAGTCCTTCTAGAGCAGGTTTCTGTTAATAAAAATAGTACAGCCGCACTAGAAGGAAAATCGGGGAAAATGCAATCTAAATAAATTAAAGAAGAAAAAAACTTTTTAGAAATCTGTGTTTACTCTGGCACGCGACTGGCCTACACTGCTTTTGACATATTAGGAAGATTCTTGGCTGGAAGCTCCTAAAAGCACTTAAAAAGGCATATGCTTCTTTTCAGAGTATAAGGGGCTTGGAATGCTTTCTTTAAACAGAATTCTTATAAATTTTTTTTTATTTTATTTTTGTGTGCACATTTTGGAACAATTTCCTTAACTCCATTCCTCAGACCATTTGAAATAATTATTTTACTGACTATTTTTGCCAATTGTGTGGCCTTAGCTATCTATATCCCCTTTCCAGAAGATGATTCCAATGCCACCAATTCCAATCTGGTAAGTCCTCGATGGTGTTTTGTTTTGCTGTTTTGAAAGTCCTTTTGAAAAGTAATCATAGAGACTATTGAAGCTGGGGAACATAAATATATCCATCAACTTTGAGAACGTACTAAAAATTGGGTTTGATTGCTGTGTCTTGTTTATTCACCTTAGCACCTGTTACAGATGAGCTGGATTTAGAAAAGAATGTTCCAAAAATTGTGCAGGTGCTGTGTGTGGTGTTTAGGTTAACAAATTTCTGCCTGCTGCAAAAGTGCTTGGTAACTTTTAAACTGCAGGTATTTGGGGAAGAAATCCTTCAATCAGGGATTATATGGTGGTTTTTGTGTTCCAATGTGCTGCTGTGAAATTGATACTGTCCTCCTCTCAGGTGATACCTGAGAGCACAGCTTGATGACTGATTTCTGGGAAGTACATTCATGCTTGCATTTCAGACACGTGTATTTATCTGGTTGAAAAGTGTTTGTGTGATTTTTTTTTTTTTTTTAGTTGTGGTTTTTTTTTTTTTTTTTATTCTTCTCTCATATTGGGGCAATATAGCTTTTCTTCTGTCACCACTGATGCTAGTGTTGGTACTTTGGGATAGAGCTGTCCATATAAAAAGGCAAGAGTGTTTGCTTTTGGCTTAGCATGAAGCCATAGCCAAGAATTTTGTTCAGTAAGGGCAAAACACAAAACAGCTCTGGAACACAGTTCCCTGAATTAGCAGAAAACATTTTTTTTCCTCTCAAGTATGTGAACAAATCTCCTATTTGTCTGGTTGAATCAGGATGAAAACTTACTCCCAGAGTTTAGGAGCTGGGAGGTTATTTCCTGATTAAAATTTATTGAGACTTAAGAAATTTTCGAGCAATAGTGGAGAAAAACAAAAGCCAAACTTCTAAAGTAGCGACCACTGGGATGGTTGACAGACGTTGTAATTCAAAAGATTCATGCTGTTCTTGGAAGTCAGTCATTTGATTAAATATCTTTTGAAGTTTAATAAAACACATTACAAACTTCATGAATTGCTGAAACAGTACTTTTTCGTTTAAAAAAAAGAAAAGGAGGGGGGAGTAAAAAATTTGTAGTTGAATGCATTTGCACTGTAACTCCTTTAAGAAACTTAAAAATAGGAGCAGAAGGTGATAAATGATTGTTAACTAATCTCTATATTCAAAATATACATGAGCTGGTCTTTTTTCTCTTTGGCTGCTCCTTGTTAGCATGACTGAGTGTTTAACAGTGGTGAATTGTGGTATGGATGTTTAAAAAACTTCGGTGTGGCACCTCTCAAAAATTACTGTCTTTAATAAAAAGCAGATTTAATCGATCCTTTGGTGAAAAAGACAGTATGTTCATTGCATGTTCTGACTTTCAAGGCTGAAAGAGGAAAATGAAGCAGATTTGAAGGTCAGAGGATCACAATTTGTCTTGAGTTTAATTGGGTGTGGGTATTTGCCTTAATTCAGTGAGGAGGCTGCTGGCTAATACTGGCTTGGAAGTATGTTCATAGCTGAATGAGGTATATTGAAACTGTTCTACAATCAAGAAACGTGTGCACCTCGCTCTTCTGCATCTGTTTTGCAAGACATCTTTTGCATCATTTGGTCAGTCTATCAGAACACTCATGTTGTTTGTGAGTAGGATTTAAAAAAACCAAGCAAGAATTACCATCTCAGGAAAGTTTGGAAATGTTATAGCCTTGAGGATGAGGAGGCATTGTTAATTTATCTAAATAACTGTTTCACAGAAGTAGAGGGAGAACAAAGTTAAATGAGGAGTCTGCTTGAGTCTACTTTTTGTTCTTTGTGTCTTAATGGAAAAAAAAATTAAAAATGGAAAATGAGATGTTAATGTATCCCATGAGGGGCTTGTATTGGTGCAATCAAGGCTCTCTTCTACACTAGAGATCAAACCCTTGAGCTCTGACTGCTCAGTAGCTTTTGGTCCTGTTATCTCTTGTTAGCCTGTGTTTGTGTTCATTGGGTTTTGTGTGTTTTGTGGGTTTGTTGTTGTTTTCTCAGTGATATAGATGTCTCTTGGCATGGATGTACTGCTGTTGAGAAACACACTTTTGGAGTCATGTGCTGCACTTTGTGAGTGAAGTCCTGAGAAACAGAGAGGGGAAACAGAGGCAAATGGGTGAGATAAGGGTGGGGAAAATGTTAGTTGTGTTTTAGAATGGGATGAAAGAATAGATGAAACTTGGAGTTAAAGGAAAGATATTCCATAAGGCAGGAACTGTACAAGAGTGAGCTTTACTGTGAGAGAGCCAAACTGTACATGGAAGAGACTAGAAAGAAGCTGGGGTTAATAATATGTTTGTGTAAAAGCTCATCTCATTCTCACTTCATCTTTTTCATCTTTCTACCTGTGAGTGTGTATTTCACAGTCGAATTTATTTTGTACCTGTGAAGTCCTTGAGCTCCAAAGGCCTTAATCTGATGCAGGCAATGAGTGTCTGTGTGCACAGAGGTGTGCACTGAGCAGAAGTGTGATCAGATGTGTACAGAATCCTTGTAGGTGCCCAGAAGAAATCATCCCTGTGTGAGAACTCTTGATTCACTTCCATTTTGTAATTTAGTCTTTTTAGGGTTAAAGCTACCGCAGAAACTCCCTCATCCCTGGTTTCCTGAGCCATCCCTAACTTCTTGAGACACGACAAACTTTCTACAGAAAACATGATGGGCAGTAACTGTTCTACAGGGTCTGAAAGTGGCAGTACAACAGTTTTCCAATAAGCTGCCACGTTTCCCTTAGGGACTGAATATTCCTCCTTTAAGGTTTTCTTATAACTTTTCAAACAAGGTGACTGAAGGAAAAATTCAGTCTGTTGTTTTTAACAAGATAATGGAGTAGAGGGTGGTGAGGAAAGAGGAAGGAATTCTGGATTGTGCGAGTGGCTTCTTTCCTTCTCTGTATAAAAGTAAAAAAATGATACCTACATAATGTTTTGATGAATAATTTCTCTGTATGAAGTTCATACCTGTAACCAGCCGTTGGTCAAACAGGGCACACATAGTGCTGCATGCCTTCCACAGAAGTCTTGGAGGCTCATTTACCTGTACAAAACCATCTCTCCATTTTAATAAGCTTTATCTACAAGATGTATTTGCTGTGATGCCACAGTGATGAGCATTGGAACTAACTACAGAAGAGTCCAGTGAAGAATTCCTTCCCTTTGGAAGGAATTGTGAATAGCTGTTATGTATTACAAGTTTAGGCCAAATACCACACGGATATTCTGACTGTTTCTCTGCAATCTGTCTTCCTATAATAATAATTCCTGCAAATCCTCAAGTAGTTTTTATCAAGTCTAGGGATGGTAACTTGGACTGTGAAGCACTTTCATTTTCTAAATGCACATTTATACTAAACCCCAAATTCCACATTTTTATGCTGCCTGCAGTGTCTTTGTCACTGGCTTTAAGAAAAATGCCAGAACAATATAATATACTCATAATAAATGCTTGAGATTGGCTTCAGCAATTTTTATATGTTACTTCTGCAGTGTGTTCCTGGAAAACTATTGAACTTGCACAAGTGGAGGGGAGTCATATTATATGCAAAATTTTTTTGGCATTAATGAAATTGCTGAGACTTTGTTTAAATTTCCTTGTAAAGTAAATTTCTGTGCAAAGAGCCATTGTGTATTAATGCAGTCAGGGAGATTGGAGCTAGTGTGAGGGGAATTAAAGTTAGCCTGCATCAGAGGCTGCAACTGATATGGAGGCTTTTTGCTTTTGTCCATGCAATTATGTATTAGAACAGAGATAACAGAATAAAACTATAGACTGCCTAAGATAGGAAGCTGAGAGGAAAATGCTTCTGTCACTTTACTGGCAACTGCAAATGGCACAAGCCTGGACAATGTCACAGCATGGTGATAACATAATGAGGTTAAGACCAAAGTTTGCAACACGTTCCAGGGAAGGCAGCTCAGTTGGTTGTTTATGCTTTGGATAAAGAGCAGGAGAATATTCCTAGTGTTGTTTTGATAGCTCTGCTTTCCCTTTCTTGTCCTGATTACAGGAAGGAAATCCTGTTGTACACTAGTTAAATTTAAAAAAAGATCTCTCGTGTTTCTATGTCAGCTTATAATGGGGTGTCACCCTCGGACTAATTTGTTAAACCTGAAATAGGACCCTGTGAAAGGAAAGATGGGATTTCTGCTTGCTTGTTAGTGCTTTTGTCAGTTTGTGTCTGCCTACAGAAAGGGGGCTTGCCTTTCAGGAAGGTATGGCTGCTTTATTAACTGGTGATTATGGTACTATCCACTTGAGCTGGTGATTCATGTATTAAAAAAGAAGAAAGTGTCTTTAGATTTTTTTTTTTTTTGCATTTTCAGCAGGCTGACACAATGCATGTGGATGTGACTATCTATTATGTTTCTATATATTGGCATAACAAACTTATGCATTTTTTTGTGTCCAGAATTCTGGAGTCACCAGACTGAACAGCCTCTCAATTTTTGTTGTGCAAAGTCAGAAAGTGTTAGAGAGCAAAGTGTGGGTGAGAGGGTCAGGAAAAGAAAGGGTGGCTTTTCTGCATAAGGGTGAGGAAGAATACTGCACAAAGGCTTTTGGTTCTGTGATGTCATTGCTATCATGCTCCTGTGTGACAGTTTCCAGCTAGTAAGTGAATAATGAGAGATGCTAACATCAGGGGTGAGGTGCAGGGTGGGATAGAGAGCATACCAAGCTAATAAACTCTGATAGGTTTATTACCTTGGGCCTCATGCCAGCACTGCTACAGCTGGGGGAGGTTATAGAACTTGAAAAGTGAGGAATAAGTGACAGAAGCTGGAAGAGGGATGCTGAGGAGTTTGGAATGGGACGGGAGTCAGGATGAGGAGAAGAAAGGACATTTTGCCAAAAAATCCTTTAGGACTTCTTCCAGAAAGATTGTGAATCACTGTGTGATTCTAAGGAAGTTAAATATGATGGAATTTAGGCTCAGCATTTCCCGAAGTTCTCAGAAGTCCTGCCTCTTGCAGAGAGAGGCTGATACTCAGC